TTCTGAAATCCAGTACAAATTGTCACTAGGCTTGATTTCCTATGGCATCGCTTCATGCTTCATTTAAACAGCATATGAATTTCGTAATACAGTCCGGTCAATATTGCTCATGCGTTTTATAGACAACTATTTTGAGAACACACAACGGATGACGAAAATGCTACCAACTTTACTTTGTGGAAAACTAAGAAATAGCTAGAGAGAACATGCGGATAGACGGTGGTTTAAGGAAGGAGCTAAACTATAATTTCATGCACGATTTAGCTAACATCAACGAACTGTTTGATTTCCAAAGCACGGTTAGATAAAGATCATGCATTTGTGAGGAAAAAGAATGGATAGAATCGTGAACAAATTCTGAATACTGATTTGAAAATGTGAATTATGAAAAAATAGTAATGCTCTTGGGAAAAAATAATATCAAAATATGAATGAAAATGAATCAAAACAGTTGCGCTGCGTAGCTTTTCTGGTGGAGGATACACCTATTTGTTTCCATGGAGATGATGTTCCGCAGTATGACCTTGAACTTACCTATCTCTATGGAAACAAGCCGGTTATGTCACCAGATCAAGTTACAGATCTGATCTACGAAGAGGCCTGTAACTTAGCAATATTAACACCGACTATGAAATAAATGCTAGATTGATAGATGTAATGCCATACTGTGGAACATTCAAAGCATAGCAGTAGAGTTGTTAAGTGATGATGTAACTTCCGAGTCGATGATAGACCTGTTTGTTTCCATGGAGACGGTGTTGCTTTGCCAAGAATGTTCCACAATACTAGCATGACCTTAAACCAGTGGTGTAGTGGGGATTTTTAAGTGCGGGTATGCGATTTGTGACTGAACCAAGAGGACTAAACCAGGACTAAATCAGGTCTAAACCAGGTCTAAACCAGAACTGAACCAGGACTAAAGCAGGACTAAACCAGGTCTAAACCAGGTCTAAAGCAGGACTGAACCAGGTCTAAACCAGGACTGAACCAAGACTGAACCAGGATTAAACCAGGGCTAAACCAGGACTAAACCAGGTCTAAATCAGGTCTAAACCAGAACTGAACCAGGACTAAAGCAGGACTAAACCAGGTCTAAACCAGGTCTAAAGCAGGACTGAACCAGGTCTAAACCAGGACTGAACCAAGACTGAACCAGGATTAAACCAGGGCTAAACCAGGACTAAACCAGGTCTAAATCAGGTCTAAACCAGGACAGAACCAGGACTGAACCAGGATTAAACCAGGTCTACACCAGGACTAAACCAGGTCTGAACCAGGACTACACCAGGACTAATCTTTGACTTGAGAGCAAGAGAAGAGAACCCCGAGCCAAGGAGCAAGGTGTCCGCAAAACGCGATCGGGTGACAGCTGCACTTATCCCCGTGGGGTTCGCAGCTCTGCACGGGTGGGCGCACCCCTGGGCCCGTCCCAACACGCAGTCCTGGATCAGTTCTGGCCCGGTCCTGGTCCCTCATGTGGCAGGTCACTATAGGACAGTAGTGCAGATCTCATAAGTTTATGCAGTTTGTTTTCATCATTGCCAATAGCTCTGGTTTTACATTTAAGTTACAGCTATTTTATATTTGTTATTTTTTTATATCTCATATCGGGAAAAGTGGGTGGACGGCGTACTCCCACGTACCACCCCCACAACACCCCTGCCTTAAACTTATCTATCTCTATGGAAACAACCCAGTTGTGTCAGCAGGTCAAGTTGCAGGTCTGATCTGTGGAGAGTCCTGCAACTTGACTCAGTATTTTTGAGCGATAAAAACACCTGTAAGATAAAAAGATAGATTTAATGCCATACTGTGGAACATTTGAGGCAAAGCAATAGAGTTGTTAAGAGATGATGTAAATAAATAAATAAATAAATAAAAATAACATCAAGTAGGTGGTGGACCTTCTCTCAGAAAAGTTAAACAGTGAGAGACAGTGGGTCCCTGTTTATACCAATGACAAATTTGTGTTTCTTCTAGAAGGTATTGCGAATGATAATAAATTTTACAATTTTCAAGATTTGTGTCAATAAATAGCAACACATCAACTTTCATATCAAGTTTTAAAAATTCTATATTGCTTCCTCAATGCAATTTCTGGTGACAATGTTGCATCTTGTCTTTTAAAATGGTGAAACTTAACACTCATTTTCTGAACAAAACACTTTCTTATTATAACACATTTTGTCCAATCCAAAATTACATACAATTAGTGATACAGTATATGGCTATATTTGAACACCACCTGCTAGTTATCGCCAATAGCTTTCACTTCTATTCTAATCCATTAGATCAATTCAAAAATTTCACATCGAATTTCACTATATAGCTCATTTACAAAAATACACTCTTGTTTAGACTGCTCTATTGCATACTCTATGGCTAATACATTATGATTAGTGTGGCCACATTATTAGGTACAAATTTTCAACATAAGCTACATCTTTTTCCCATCCATTGGTGATAAAATAAGTACGTGGAGACTTGGTGTGCCTAATAAAGTGGCCAGAAAATGTACATGGTAACTAAATAAATAGGTCGTGTTCACTATTTTGTTTAAAAATATGATATGCAGCATGGATTACATCAAAGATTAGGTGTTGATGTACTGTTGTCTGTGGAAATATTTTCAGTTTAAAACACAAAGTATGAGTGGTGCGTGTTTTGGTGTCTGTAGCAGCCGCGTGACTCCACCTCAGAGTAGTGAGCATTAGGAGAGTACTTCATTTAAATACTGATAGACTGTGATTGTCATTGACACAAATAATACTCTGATGAATTTGAAACATTTTTGGATACATGGAAAACCAAATATACAAATTCTGAAAGAAATATGGGAACTCAATTCTTCATTTTAGAAAAGTGGGGAAAGAAGTCACAAGTGTGGCAAAATGCACAAACCAAATGCAATTTCATATTCAGTTTCATGTGTTTCTTTCTTTTTTTTTTTCAATAGCATTTTTCTGTTTTTGTCTGTTTTTATATATATTTCACTCCAAAAATTGACCCTAAATCTCATTTAATTATTTTATGTTGATCCAAGCAAAACATCTGTTTATATTATATATCTCTTTAGTCAACTGAAACCAACTGAATCCAAAAAAGGTGACCTAATATATGTTTTAAGGCCAGTATTTCAATGTTGTCTTGTTGTCTTTGGCTGTTTGGGTCAATGTTATTTAATTGAAATTTATCCTTTATTTTACAAGGCAAAACAAATATGAACAAATTCTCATTTCCATTGTTGGCCTGGGTATTTTTTTTTTCAGTTGAAATGATTATTCCAGTTTTCTTTAGCATATTACCACGTGTAACATAACATAGTCTCTCATTTCTCATTCAGTGTTGTGACTTTCCCTTCAGGGCCACTATAAAACATATTTGCCTGTTTGTGTCCAAATAGAACATGAATATTTAACACTATAATACACTGAAACAGCAGCGGGGTGAACGGAGCCAACAGTATCCTACAATATACTGAAAACAACAAAGCAACAACCGATCCACAATGTCAAAATCTGAAAATATAATCCTTAAATAAACTATAAAAGCATCACATAGCCATTCATTATTGCAGAGTTTTGTATGTTGCCCAAAAATGTATAGAAATGATTCAGAAATGAGCAAATGAAAGGCTGCCCAGCGCGTTGGATTGGTGATGCATTGCCACAGGTGTTATGGCTCTTTCTCAACATGACTCAGTCTAAACATTGACGGGCCTGTTGCTGCCTGTGGACATCTGTGGCTCTGCTCCCCACCAAATCTTTAATAAAACATTCAGCTCTCTGAAAATCCTTGGCTTTAGTTTGTATTCTGTGCTCAAGAGGACGGCACCATTTTGAAACTCATAAACAAAGGTAGTTTTGTGTCACTTCTTTTTTAAACAAATACCTATTTTTGACACTGGAGTTTGGTAATACGTTTGAGTTGTTTAAATACCGAATTTGGTGCTAGTAAATATTGATGTGCTGAGAGCAGTTTGTGCTTGTGTTTCAAAAGCTCAGACAAGATTGTAACTTCATTTTTTATCATTTTTAAACATAAAACATTGTGCCATAAAATGTTGTATTACATTGATATTTTGCAGATGATATCATCAACATTCCTGGAGGGGGGGGGGGGGGGAAATTATGTTACTATGGTAACTGATGAACATTCTGCCATAAACATACATGTAGAACTCCCTCAGCATGATGTCGCTGCAAACTATCATTATCATTTTTGTGCTTTTTTTTCAAACTAAAATAAATAAAAACAAATATCACTTATTATTTATCCTACTCAATAACACGTTTTTACAGTGTACATTTTGTATTAAACATGACATAATTTATTACTATTTCTTTGTAAATTGAATTAAAATTTAAGTCAATCAGATTTCAGATTGTGTGGGGTTCTCCAGGGGTCGATCTTTGGACCGTTGCACTCAATCATTTTAGACTTTTTTAGAGATGGTATCGAAGTGTAGACAACATTGACCGAAGATAAAGTATATTGATTTAATATAACTCTCTCAAACCAATTAATATTATGGATAGAAATGTGCTTTTAAAAATATGTTTTCAATGCCCTTTAAATTGTAATGGAATGTTAAGTGTGACATCATGGGTCCAACTGTTCGATAGACACAAACCGCAGATATAGCTGAACCTCTCTGAACCTCCTGAATTAAACATAGTAGTACATAGTTTTATGCTAAATAAGATCAATGCATGTATTTCTCACACAACACAATGGAATGTTCGAACAGGTTTAAGGACTAGATTATAATGGTAAAAATATGCTATAATTTGTCAAAAAATCATCTTGAAACTAAGGTACTTCTATGTGCAGTCTAATATTTCAAAACTGCGTTCTACAAAGCCATGGGACAGTTTAAAATTATTAAAATGCAGAAATGATCATCTCTAATTTCATTTAAAACAAAATTTGTTACCAAATTCAGTGTCAAAAATAAACCACTACCTTCATTCTTAGATTTAGATGAACTTTGCCCTCTCCTATACCCCTGCCCAGTCTTGTCCACTGAGCTCCAGGAGGAGGCCCAGCAGCGGCAGCACGGTGACCCAGAGAGGAGCACTGATCCTGGGGGAGGCGCTGGGGCACAGGTCGAACAGACTCCCCTGGAAGGGCATCTTCTTGGAGTCCTGACGCAGCGTCTCCCAGATCAGCCTCACTTCACCTGTGCAGTTGGCCAGAGCTTTGAGGGCGCACGAGTGGAAGTTTTCCCAGTGGCTGAAAGAAAACAAAGAAGAACATATATACATTAGATCACCATAAAGATAACACTAGTGATGGGCAGGTCTGTCTGATTTCTGGGGGTCAATATTTATCCTGGGTACATTTTCTTTGTATTACAACTTGTTGTTATTTTTATGTTCTACAATAAGCTTTGGGCTACAATACAATAATCTAACAATAGTTTTGGAGGATTTATTGTGCCAGTTGCATAAATTACTTTCAAAATTATTGTTTACTGCCTGTATTTTCTTCTCTTCTCTTATTCAAACTTCAAAATATATTATCGTGACAGGTATAATTCATGTTTTTGCAGATTTTCCAAATAAAGTTTAGGCTGGGAAATGTAGAAATCATTTTCTTTGCTCAATCGCTCAATGGCAATTTTACATTTTATTTTGTCTTATTACAGACAATTAAATCTGGCTTTTGTGTTGGGTCCTCCGCCTGTTTGTTTCCATATCCACATATTCCACAATGTGATATTAAACGGATTTACATTTATTAATTGCAGGTGTTTTATTGCTGATAAAAACACACTGTTAATTACATGCTGTGAGCTTCTTGTCTCCATGGTGACAGATACATTTAATACAATAATCTCTGTGAAGACAAGAATGTCCCTCTTCCACAAAAGTTACATAGTGGATCTTTAAGGTTAATATTTGTGGATGTTTTACGCTGGATTTCAGAGGCAATACCACCTTTAAGGATCACAGATACAATAGCAAAATTAAATTTTTTATACTTTAATTCTCAAAACTTTTATCAAGAATGATTGGAAGAACATTGGGAAGAACTCTGAATAGTCGGAATAAACTGAGTTGCATTACATTATAAAAAAAAAAACATGACATATTAATTATTTTTGTTAGTTATGCATTCATTTTTGTCCAATTAGGGATGAAAAATCACACATGCACACACTCCAAGAGCTGTATTTTCTGTTTTTCTCACTAATACTGTGCAGTTCAAAGTCAAATTTGCATGATGAAGTACTGTCATGTATTTTATTTTAGAAATGTAAATGTAAATGTATTCTGAATACCACTAATGGAAAAAGTAACTGCTCCTGCACCACGCTGAGCGAGGCAGCGACTGACCTGAAAGATAAGATCATGGCCCGAATGAACACAAGGCAACCCCGATGCCAGTTACAGAGGCTAAGTGAAGTACCATCTGAAAGTCACTTCAGCAGCAGTGATCCTAGATGTGTTGGGCTATAAGAGCAACCATGGGAGCCATGCGATACAATACCCACCATGGCAAAGACAGTTAGAGGCTAAAATCAAGGAGGTGCGGAGAGAAGTGAGCCAACTGTCAGAGGCCCAGAAAGGTGCAATGAAAAAGCAAGTGCCCAAGAGGTACAACCAGTTGCCCATACCTGAAGCACTCGAAACTGCCAAACAAAGGCTCCAAGCCTTGGCCAGCCGCCTAAAGAGGTACACACGAGATAACGAGGCCAGACGAATAAACCGGCTGTTCGCAACACAACCGGCGAAAGTGTACGCTCAGTGGCAGGGTAATAACAGCAGAGCATACCCACCAAGGCTGGAGACTGAGAGGTACTGGAAAGGCATATGGGAAAGGGAGGCATCACATAACACCGATGCACAGTGGCTGGTGGATCTGAGAGAAGACCACAGCAACCTCCCTGAACAGAATCCAGTCACCATCACAGTGGCAGACATCCAGGGAAGAGTCTCAGGTATGAAAAACTGGACCGCACCGGGCCCGGACATGATCCATGCGTACTGGCTAAAGAAGCTCACTGCCCTCCACGAGCGCCTGGCAGCACAAATGAACCAGCTGCTAAGGGATGGGACTCACCCTGAATGGTTAACCCAAGGGCGTACGATCCTGATCCTAAAGGATCCTTCAAAGGGTGCAGTCCCATCCAACTATCGGCCAATAACCTGTCTCTCCACAACATGGAAGCTCATGTCAGGCATCATTGCGGCTAAGATAAGTGGGCACATGAATCAATACATGAGTGCAGCACAGAAGGGTATCGGCAAAAACACCAGGGGAGCCAAACACCAACTCCTGGTTGACCGAACAGTCGCCCGCGACTGCAGAACCCGTAAGACCAACCTGTGCACTGCCTGGATTGATTACAAGAAAGCCTATGACTCAATGCCACACACATGGATCACTGAGTGCTTGAAGCTGTACAATATCAACAGGACTCTAAGGGCGTTCATTGCGAACTCGATGCGGTTGTGGAAAACCACCCTTGAAGCCAAGGGGAAGCCACTTGCACATGTGTCCATCAAATGTGGCAATATACCAAGGAGACTCACTGTCCCCCACTACTGTTCTGCATAGGCCTGAACCCTCTCAGCCAAATAATCGACCGCACTGGCTATGGATACCGACTCAGAAACGGGGCCACCATCAGTCACCTCCTCTACATGGATGACATCAAGCTGTACGCTAAGAGTGAGCGAGACATCGACTCACTGATTCACACCACAAGGATCTACAGTACAGACATCGGGATGTCATTCGGGCTTGAGAAATGTAGCAGGATGGTGACAAAGAGAGGGAAGGTAGTCCACACAGAGGGGGTGTCACTCCCAGAGGGAACAATAGCAGACGTTGAGGACAGTTACAAGTACCTTGGTATCCCACAAGCAAGTGGCAACCTCGAAGAGGCAACAAGGAAAGCGGGCTACGGCCAAATACCTGCAAAGAGTGAGGCAAGTCCTTAGAAGCCAGCTCAATGGCAAGAAACAAGGTGCAGGCAATCAACAGCTACGCCCTGCCAGAGATCAGATACCCTGCAGGGATTGTAAGCTGGCCAAAGGAGGAGATACAGACCACAGATGTTAAGACACGAAAGCTCCTGACCATGCATGGAGGGTTCCATCCCAAATCCAGCACCCTGAGACTGTACGCAGGCCGGAAGGAAGGGGGCCGAGGACTAGTGAGTGTGGGAACCACTGTCCAGAATGAAACATCCAAGCTCCTTGAGTACATCAAGGACAAGGCCCCGGCAGATGAGGTGCTCAGAGAATGTCTCAGACAGTGGGGTCCAGAGGAAGAGGTGCTGGAGGGACCATCATGGCAGGACAAACCCCTACATGGGGTGTACCACCGGAACATAACTGAAGTGGCTGATATCAAGAAATCCTACCAATGGCTTGAGAGGGCTGGTCTGAAGGACAGCACAGAGGCACTGATCCTGGCTGCTCAGGAGCAGGCCCTGGGCACTCGAGCAATAGAGGCCCAGATCTACCACACCAGACAAGACCCACGGTGTAGACTGTGCAAAGAGGCTCCTGAGACAGTCCAGCACATAACTGCAGGGTGTAAGATGCTGGCAGGGAAAGCATACATGGAGCGACATAACCAAGTTGCGGGCATAGTGTACAGAAACATCTGTGCAGAGTACGGGCTGGAGACCCCAGGATCAAGGTGGGAAACACCCCCAAAGGTTGTGGAGAATGACCGAGCCAAGATCCTGTGGGACTTCCAGATACAGACTGACAGAATGGTGATGGCGAACCAACCAGACATAGTGGTGGTGGATAAGAAACAGAGCAGAGCCGTGGTGGTTGACATCGCAATACCAAGCCATGGTAATATCAGGAAAAAGGAACACGAGAAGATAGAGAAATACCAGGGGCTCAAGGAAGAGCTGGAGAGAGCCTGGAAAGTAAAGGCATCAGTGGTGCCTGTGGTGATCGGAGCACTCGGGGCTGTAACCCCCAAACTGGAAAGAGTGGCTACAACAGATACCGGGAAAAACAATGGACATCTCAGTCCAGAAAAGTGCAGTACTGGGAACAGCAAAGATACTGCGCAGAACTCTCAAGCTCCCAGGCCTCTGGTAGAGGACCCGAGCTGAATGAGGGTGAGAGAGACCTACCACCGTGGAAGGTGAGAAACACATTTTTATATATATATATATATATATATATATATATATATATAATATATATATATATATATATATATATATATATATATATATATATATATATATATGTACATATGTGCTATATGGTTTGGCAACACAGCAGAAGTGTGCTGGCCTGATTGATCAGTTGGTTTCACTTTGTAGAAACCGTCTGACGTCACAGCATTGGAATTTGTTTGCTCGACAGCAGGCGGGTACTTTTTGTCATTTAACCAATCGCTGCTATTTGGTAGTCACATATGTAATGCAGCGCTAACGGGGCTAATTGGTGTAATAAAAAAAATAATAATAAATTTCTCAAATCCCGTAGGAAAAAGGGCAGTAACGTCTTTCCCCTTGATAAAATTTACCAAACATTCTCGTTATTCTGGCTTTAAATCCTCGATCTTGAGAATCGTTGACAACACTGAATGCATGTCTCTTCGCTGATTGGCTGGTGCCCAAACTCGCACTTCTGGGGTTTTTGCAAACCGTCTAGTGTATTCTGATTCCTGACCTAGTTGCTGGAGAGAAATTAATTTGAGCAGAGGCACTAGGTGACACCAGCCTGGCAAGATGCGCGCAGCCTGAGTACAGAAAACACCGTTGTCTGTGCGGTTACACATGGATCTAGGGTTCACATGAAGTTGCTACACTAGCTGGCGATATTGTCAGCTCTTTCAAATTGTTTATTGCCTTGTGATAAAATAAGTTATAATGCTAAATGTACATTAGTGAGGAGGATACGTCTTACCTGTATGTGTAAATGACAAGAACAAACGTCTCAAACTTCAGTAGCCGGACATCCACTCATACCTGATTGATAGAACTATCCCCGCCCCGCAGAGAGTCTGAAATCTGCTGAAATCCTCCAAGACACTGACATGATACAGACAGAACAGAGACTCTTTCTGCAGGAGACATGCGCAGGGAGAGTGAAAGGGAGAGATGGGTGTGATGCGCCGAGGAAGATGCTCATTTGATTGTGTTTTGAACAGTTATTTTGCGTTTCATACACACACCCTCCTCATGGAAAACACGAAGAAATACAGATGAGGCAACTGATGTGACTGTCAAACAGAGCTGCTGCACGTGAGCTCGGCATCAGTGAGTCAAGGGTGAGATTTTGTCGATGGCACCGTGACGAACTGACTCAACGCAAAAAGATGACAAAAGCTTTCAGAGGATATAAAAGCAGACGGTCCGAACTTAATAATGTTCTTGAAGATGTGGACACCTGCGGCTTACATTCAGGTGCAGCCTATATATGTACAATTTTAAAATTTTGTTAAAACTTAGTTGATGCAGTTTATATTCAGGTGCGCTCAATAGTCCGGATTTTACGGTAAATTAATGCAAGGTAGTTTCCAGGCTAAGCAATAACATCTCCATGGAATCAAGCAGTTGGCAGACCCCATCAGAAAAGTTACACAGTGCACTTTAAACTTTTGTGTTATGAGTACTTTCTTATTAATTTCTTCAAACTTTTAATATCGCAAGGATTATTATCAAATATAATGTGAGTCCCTGGATTTTCTGCTGTATTAAGTTTGCTGTGCCAAAGCTCTTTGAATACTCAGTCAGAATGTTTACTTTAATATATGAATTCCCAGCCTGTCTCATATAAGTCTGTTTGAGCTTTTGCTTTCTGTGTAATATACCACACATAACTGAGGTTGTTGTGATGAGATTTTAGCTGAGGCTTTAGGTGTAAATCTCCAATAAAGTGAGTTGTTTTAGGGTCCATGCGGTAACAATGACAGAAGAGAATTTCATTACCGCTGCTGCAAAGTCATAAATTATGGAGTACAGTGGTTCACAGTGTCTCTGCTCCATTCATATCTGTGCTCCCATCTGAGACTGTGGCATCTGCTCAGGCTCCCTCTATCAGACTTTCACAAATCCGAGTTGATTTAGAAGTAAAGCTGTACTATGTAACTTTTCTGGAAGGTGGATGTTACTGCTTTGCATAGGCACTAAGCACATCTATCTCGCAAGTGTTTTAAGGGCCCATATTAAGATATTTTTTCATTTTCTCATTACAAAAATACCTGGAGTTGTGTTTTGTTTCTTTCACACGTTAAACACACTAATCTTCCTTATTTAGGCTGAGTTCTTCTCTCAAACAGAAAAAAAAAAAACTGTATGCAAAACTGTGCTTGTCTGTATTTTAGATTCGCTTTCACTAAAATCATTTGGATAATATCAGACTTGAAATTGTCAGTCTCTGCTGAACTGGAAAACTGTGTCTTCATAACATCACACGGTGGAACAGAGCATTTTTAGCTTTGATATAAACAGAGTAATAATAATTCTTAAAAACATTACAACATGACTTAAAGCTCAATATATCATAGGATATTTAAGTTGCTGAAAAATAACTTGGAACTTGCATTGTTGCTGTGACCAGACTCAGCTCCACAGATCTGACCTGCAACTTAGCCTACTGGCATCACCTGCTTGTCTCCATGGATGTATATCAGTTAAATGCCATACCGCAGAACAAAACTGGGTCTGTTTATAATTAAAGCTGCATTGTGTAACTTTTCCAGGGGTGGGGATGTTATTGCTTTGCTTGGAAATTCCACAGTATAGCTTAGAACGTATCTTAAATCTTCAATTATAGGTGTTTTTATTTTGCAAAAATACATTGAAAATCCTGCGTTCTTACTGTAAGCAGGGTGTCTCTCAAGCTCTGATCTGTAACTAAGCCCAGTGGCATCACCTGCTTGTCGCTACAGGAGGCTCCATCGTTAATCCCTTTTAGACTTGTCCTTCAAGTTAGTCCTGTTTTAGATATCCTTTAAATCTTTTTTATTTAGGTGTGCTCCTTCTATATTCATTATGTTGTTGTAGCTCACTCACTCAGCACTTTGTTCTGACAATGACATTGAAGATTGAGTTTTTCAGAGGGTGCCTGGTCAATAATGGTTTCATTACAATCAATCACAGCAGCTCGGTGTTAAAGGTGCAGAAAACAGAGCACAGACAGCTGTAGCAGGATACAAACCAGACCATTTCAGACTCTAAACCAGGGCTACATTAAGACTAAACCCCATTCATTCAAGTAACAAGACCTTGACAAGACCAGTGACAAGACTTGTCTTGTGGTTAGAGGACCACTGCTTTAGGGCACTTTCTCATTCACTGAATACTTGGGGAGTGCACCACCTGTTTCACACGTTTCATGTACACAGCCTACACCTTTCTGTCTGCGTATGTTAAATATTCGCCAGACTGGCGCCACCTAGTGCCTCCGCTCATTTTCATTTCTCTCCAGCAACTAATCAGGAATCAAAATACAACAGATGGTTCCTAAAAACCCCGAAAGTGCAAGTTCGGGCACCTGCCAATCAGCGAAGAGCCATATTCCTGAGATTGAGGATTTAAAGCCGGAATAAAGAGAATGTTTGGTGAATTTCATCAAGGGGAAAGACCTTCTTCTTATGGGATTTGGGAAAAGCTTAATATACCAGTTAGCCCCGTTAGCGCCGCATTCACGACCAAAATAACAGTGATTGGTTAAATGAAAAAAAGTACCCACCTACCATCAAGCAAACGAATTCTAACACTGCGAGGTCAGACAGTTTCTACGAAGTAAAACGAAGTGAAACCGGCTGATGAATCAGGCTAGTTAAATATGACTGTCTGTGAAATGATGTTCAGAATATACCTGTGACCGAAATAAATAAATCATTCCCATGTCATGATAAAACATGTCCCAATACTCAGTGTATTTGAACCATAATAATACTTCTATAATAATACTACATTCCTGCCTGGCAAATACACAATAATATCTCTGTATTTTTTAGACAGAGGGATATCACTCATCTCTCCCTCCTTGAGTCAGAACCACACATAATCATCCAATCAGATTTGTTTATTTCAGTGGTAAATGTGAAATGAAGCAGCTCATTGGTCACCATTATTCATCATTTTGAGTAAAATGACATTTCTCTCACCTGAGATGAACACAGTTTAGTGCTTCACTTATAGATTAGAGACATTAGATTATAGATGTTTTTCATTCCCTGTGATATATTGTTTCTTTCTTTTTTGTGTGTCCCTGACTGGCTAATCCACCTGTCAATCACAAACATCTAAACTTGGGAAGATTTACAGATAACCAGGACTCACATCTTTGTAATATACTGAAGAAGTGTGTGTGCTGGATGCGAGGCAAACTCCTACTCTGGCAGAGTAGTTGACCTTTTCTGACTGCACTGCAGCCTCATCATGTCGATATTGTGACACAAAGTATTGCCTTATATTGCAATATCATACATTTACATGCAAATGCAACCCCATCATGGCATTGTTTGCTTGGCCAGTCAAAAGCACATGCTTTTACAATACCATAACCATATCCTGTCTTCCTGATTTCCAATGGGTGTGATTGCCACATAACTCAATCAGGGAAATGGAAAGTCTGTTCGTGTCCTAACAAACATGAAAAAAAGAAAAATAACAGAGAACTGAGAAACATGCACAGATTTCTGTAGAAAACAAAAGCACTGATCTCTTCTGTATTTTATGTAAAAGAAGACAAGGCTATAACAGTGTTTGGAGATTTTTTTTCATGCTGAGACTCTGGAGTCTTTGGAAGGAATGTCAGTGTTTCATTGTTTGATTTTCGGTTTGTCAAATCAACAATTTTTGAAATGCTCAAAGAAACCCCTGTGGTGATATTCAGCTACACAGAAATATGTAACCTAAATCTTACTTTATTCATCATTTTTATGCATATCTTTTTAGTTTAGTTTATTCTTGCCATATTTTTTTTTACTTTGTTTGGAGCTGGCTTCCACACAAACCACAGAACTGCCCTGTAAGTTTCCATTTACATGCAAACCATTCAGCAGGAGCTAAACAGAGTCTCAAGATCATGAGAATTTGTCTCATTAGACAAGAAGGTGACACAACAAGATCAAGTTACAGGTCACATCTGTGGGGAGGCGAGTCCATTCATATTAAGAATGCATGTATGTATAGACTGGAGAACTATAAGGAAACAACAGCCTGACACTATCTCAGACATTTCCCTTTTGCCCTGATGAAGATCTCAAAGGCTGACTCTTTATTGAAGCCCTGTGTGACATACAGTGCGCTACGACAGTACAAGGCAGATCTTGTTCTTTGATACTCGCTCAGATATGTTCATGACTTAGTGTGATGAGGCACAGGCCCCTAAACATTTTCCCATACGCCTATCTCCTTTACTCTTCTTGAAGACGATGTGTATGTGTGTCTTACTCGCAGACTGCAGCCACGCCCGTCTCACTGGTCACGTTCTCCTGTTGGTTGTCCAGACTCTGTCCCAGCGCGAGGACACAGTCAGAGAAGCCTTTATATGCACTTTCACACCTCACGTCCACGGCCTGTCCCCACTCCAGCACACACAGCAGCACTGCAATACACAAGACACCAGAAGAATCAACACAGTTCTGTCTCATATTCTGAGGAATAGAACCAGATACTCTGGAGTTCATTTGCACAAACAAAGAAGGGGCATATAAAAATAGAACGTACTAGTTTATGAGTTCTGGGGTACTGCTTTAAAGCTTCATTATGTAAGTTTTCTGGTGGAGGGTTGTACAAGCGTTGTCAAAAGTATCGAAGGTCAGATACTAATCCATACTAAAACTAGAATCAAAACTATTATCGATGTTCATTTAAGCAAGTATCGATACTGAATAAAAAAATCACTGGATAAAAATGGACCTTTCCAGAACATCTTGAGTTTTATCAGAACCCCTTATGGTAAGACCTCATGGTATAATAAACAAATAATATTTTGTGTTGAAAATTCAATATTGTCTAAAAAGGAGCTTTTGAAATGATCATGGGTATCAAAATCAGTATTGAGAATCCCTGTATCATTCATTCATTCGTTTTTCAATATAAAACCAAAAATAAGAAAATGAAAAAAATATTTTCTTCATTATTTGTCTCCAAAACCAAAATGAAAAAACAGATAACGATTAGTTTTTTTCAATTTTCGATTTTGTGTTTAAATGAATAATGAATAAACGCTCGTTTCCCGTTTCCATGACTTAAACTGCCATGCCGGACTGAACCAGGACTGAACCAGGACCAAACCAGGTCTGGGACCAGATTGGAACCAGACTGGGACTGAGACCAGGACTGCGTCTGGGACCAGGACCAGGACTGAAACCGGGACTGAAAATGGTTTAGTCCTGGTTTAGTCCTGGTCCTAGTTGTTTTTTCATTTTCTTACTTTTGGTTTTATTTTGAAAAAAAAAAAAGACAAATGATACACGGATTATCAAGTATTGTGTTTATTCCTTAGTACTGAAATTGCATTTGAAATTTTATCATGACAACACTGCCACCTACTTATCATCATGAAGATTATATTGCATCCCCTGGAATGTTCCACACTGTGGCATTAAACGTTACTATCTGTGCAGTGAAGAGGCAAGCCTGCTCACAGAACACAAAATTGTCAAGGTGAGCAACAAACATTACTTTGTAACACTATGGGCTAAGAAATGGCTTCTCCAGGAAGATTATACAGCAGGTATCAAACTCCCATCCACAAAAGACTGCAACTTTAATGCACAGATATACTGGCGCTTGGTGCTAGGTCTATTTGAAATGTTGTAGTAGTGATTTTGATATTAAGGAATAGACTCTATAATCAATACTAATTCAGATACCACAATGATAACATAAACACTCTATTTCGATGATAGAATGCCATTTTTTACTAAGTACATTATAATACCATGTGGTTTAAGAGCTGTGTAATCCCTCAGTGGTCCAGGTAGGTTCCATAGTGGTCCATGGGTGTATACTAGTCTATGTGCTCTTATACTTGTTCTGATACAACTCAAGATCAGTCTAAATCTATTCACAAAAGGTTCATTTCTGTCCTGTAAATGTGACTTTTTTAGTATCGATACCTGCTCAAATGAGTACCTAGTTTTAGTATCGATTAGTAGGCTGATTTTATATATTTTTAACAACCCTTATTGTATGAATTACGCACACACCGTTAACCAGCTGTCACTGCGCCTCCGCCTTATACGGGAGCAGAGATGAAAATGAACTCGTCGCACTGAGCTCTGTGCCGTTTATTGTACAATGTCCTTGTCACTTACAATGAATAAATAAAGCAATCAATAGTTACGCTAAATAAATATATATGGCGCATTTGTTTTGGATCGATATAAAAATAATGAAATGAAAAAGTGACAACATTAACATCAGATTTAGCCTGTCAACAGTTCTGAGTGTATGCAGACTATTGCAGTAAAGCTAAAGATGAAACAGAAACCTCCAACTGGCAATAATGAAGGTAGATGAAGATGGAAAATAACAAAAGATACAAAATAAAACTAAAACTAAAACTAAAATAGATACATCCATTGTTAAAAGCCTAATTGAGATTAATCTATTTCTGGCACAAGCACATTCCTAGTGTGTCAAGTTTATTCAATGACAATTCTTTTTTTTTTTTTTTTTTTTTTTACCATTAGATTAAAGCCGCACTGTGTAACCTTTCTGAAGGACATTTCTATCTACCTCCACGGTGACAAGAAGGTGACAACCAGATCAAGTTACATACGGGTCAGATCTGCGGAGGGGCAAGTCCACTCATACTAACAGCGTGACATTTTGACACTTTGCGGCAAATGTCATCAACAATCCCCGGGGATGTGATGCTAACCGTAGGCACTGCTCTGTCTCGGGCTTTGTTAGACTTTAATCTGTGCTTTAGTTGAATAAAATCTGACTTTAAGAACTGATTTAGCTGGGATTACAACGCCTGAGCTGGTTGGTGCTGTTAAAAAAGTCTCTTACACATGAAATGAAACAGCTTACAACTTAAATGATTCGTTTTGGAGCAATATAAAAAGAATGGAATTAAAAAGGTGACATCATCATTATCAAGTTGAGCCTACCAACAGTTCTGAGTGTATGCAGAGTATTGCAGTAAAGCTAAAGATGAAAAAGACACCAACTATTGACAATAATGAAGGTAGATGGACATGAAACGGATACGTACTTAGTAGATAGCCTAACTGAGATAAGACTATTTTTGGCACAATGTAACTTTAGCCTTAAACTAGATCATTTAGAGATCATTTCATCTCGTTATGTGATCGTGTAGTAGTAAACGCTGGCTGCACCCCATGCTCTTAAGCCCACGGATGTGTATAGTGGGTGTGTAAAAGAAGATGCTAGCCACGGCGCGCGTTACTATCACGCAGTGCCAACATGCTACGCTCATTCAGATTCACAAAGATCGACAATTATCCAATCATAAAGACAACTAACATTGTAAAACAACGCCATTTTGTGTGATTTAAGATGGTAATAAACGTGGATTTCAATCTCACCTACGGCAATCGCTAGAACACCTCCTGTCTTCTTCTGCGCCGACATATCCCATTTCAGAGAGGCACGGCTGGAGACGCGTGGCTAAAAGCGGCGATGGCGTGTCACGAGGAGGGGAGCATTAGCTTTTCAGAGGTTCCTTCGTGGCTTTACGGGTGAGACAGTTGGTTTAACGCGGTGAAAAGGCGGCGGTGTGGTGCGTAAACCGCTCGCTCCCCAAAAACCACGGCCCTGCGCGCGGTCTTCTGCTGCTGGTGGTGACGTTACCTTGCCCCCCGGTGCGTCTGAGCTCATGCGTCCCCCGATCCGCTCTTCAGCACCGGACAGCTCTCTCCTCCTCCTCCCTCCTCCTCCCTCCTCCCTCCTCCAGGCCAGCTCCGAGCAGCATCAGCACCGTCAGAGACCCGCCTTCCTCCAGCCGAGTGTATGCGAGGATGAACGCGAGTCAACGAGAGGTTTGGGTGCGCCTTTTCTAGAATATTTATGACATGTGAGAAGACACAGCCCATGGAAGCAGTCTGCTATACGGTAGCTATACGGTCCATATACTGTATAGTACATGCACTTTGAAATGTTTATGTTAGGCCTGTACCTACTTCAGTATCTTCGGTTATCTTCGAGTTCAATCTAGATTTAAAAACATAATAAAACCTCTATAAAAGTCTATAAAATAACAGAACCTTTAGGCTATTTGTCCCACAATGAGGAAATTTTAGTGTTGCAACGCACAGTTCAAGAACACCAAGAGAATAGAAACAGGCACTCAAAAATTACGATAAATATTTGATAATAGACCTAAATTTCAAACTGTTTATGTATTTAGCAATTAAACCAACTGTAATTGAATACACAATATGACCGAAAGGACAAGCTGTCGAAATGAGTTTCCTCCGTAGGGTGGCTGGGCGCTCCCTTAGAGATAGGGTTAGGAGCTCAGTCACACAGGAGGAGCTCGGAGTAGAGCCGCTGCTCCTCCACGTCAAGAGGGGCCAGTTGAGGTGGCTCAGGCATCTGTTCCGGATGCCTCCTGGACACCTCTCTGGAGAGGGGTTCCAGGCATGTCCCACCAGGAGGAGGCCCCGGGAAAGACCTAGGACATGCTGAAGGGACTATGTCTCTGGGCTGACCTGGGAACACCTCGGGATCTCCACGGAAGAGCTGGAGGGCGTGTGTGTGTAGAGGGAAGTCTGGGAGTCCCTGCTTAGACTGCTGGCCCCGCGACCCAGCACCAGATAAGCGGAAAAAAATGGATGGGTTTATGGATATTGAATACAATAGAGAAGTTGAAGAAGAAATTCCATATTGAGGAGCATTTCAGGTAAAGCAATGACATTGCCTTTACGACAAGATGGTACATTCTGTGCCAAAAAAGTTACATAGAGCAGCTTTAAGTCAACTTAAAGCTTAACCATTCTTGTGGAGGGTCCACAACCTGCTTGTCTCTATGATTATTGCTCTGCCTGGAATGTTTCACAGTATGGCATTAAACTCTGTGCAAGTAAACAAAATAAAATAAAGGCAAATAAGTGAAAGTCATAGAGTCAAATAGGCTATAAAACATTTTTGCATGTAACATTTTAAATCTTCTAGTCTGAAAAAAATAACATAACCTACATTTTATATATATATATTTTTACAAATCATTATCATTAGGCTGTAATATTCAGGCCTTAAAGCTGATCAAAATTTTCTGGTGGAGGGTCTGCCATCTGCTAGAGTCCATAAATATGGGATTTGTTTGTGCGTAATATTCCACAGTATGGCATTAAATGTATATAACAAGCAGGAGACGTTATCAGGCCAAGTTACAGGTCAGATCTGTGGAGAGGGGACCCTGCGCTCAGTCAGAATCATTTATTTCCAATTTATTTTTTATTTAGCAATCAAAACACACACAAGACAAGCAGGTGGCGGACCCAGACATCAGAAAAGTTACTTGGTGTACCTTTAATACAAAATGTTTTAACAATTTTGTAGTAAAATTTGTAGTCTGCAACCATGATAACTTTTAAAGCCCTAAGCTTTTTCATTTCTTCTTTAATTTTTCAGGCCGTTCATCAGGAGGTTTCTGAATGTCTGAAAACATGTGAAAGAATTTAAAGCAAGATCCGAAAAGCCCGTTCAAATTATGTTCTTTCAACGTGACGTACCGGTACACTCTTTTTGCAGTGAAATGTCTAAAAAGGCTCGGGGCTAAAAGGCTAATAGAAGAGAGTGGAGAGAGATGCAATATTTATGACCTAAAGACAACATTTAGACTGTGAGCTCCAGTCAGGAAATACACCCAAAGCCTGGAGTTTAAAAGGTCCTATATTACACTAAATGGATTCTTGTGAATTTTAAGCCATGTTAGAATGTTGTTACCTCCTCAAAGATGCACCTGGAGTTGTGTTTTAGCTCAAAATGCTCTGTTCCACCTTGTGATGTCATGAAGCGGTAGTTTTAATTTTGTTCAGTTGGAAATTTCAAGTCTGAAAATATACAAATCATCCAAATGTTTCTAGTGAAGGTGTATGGAGTCTAAAAACACAATGGAGTACTTCCCGTATTACCACATGACATCACAAGGTGGAATAGAGTTTGTTGTTCTGTTTGAGAGAAGAAACTAAATATGCAATACTTATGTGCTAAATCTGTGTGAATGAAAGAAAACACAACTCCAGGTGTTTATGACTGAGCTCGCTATGGTCGGGGAAGTAACAAAAAAAAAAAACAAAAAACAACAAGGTGGAGATTGGAATGAATTAAGTAATGTTTAATTAACAGGAATGTAAAAGGTAAATTGATAAAATAGGCTAAAATATGTACAGAAAATAACCTAAACTAAGAAACAAAATAACAGGATTAACATATGAGTTTTGTGCCAAAAAACGCAGGTCTATACAAAACGAGACACAAAACAAAACTAGATCACAAGTGTCCCAAAGTAAAACCACATAAACCCACAAACAGAATTGAGTGACAAAATAAAAAGGCACAAAACAGAACTAAATTAAACAAGTGTCTCAACCATAAACTGTATAAAAAAAATGGACTAAGCGAGTGTGACGTCACCCATAGTGTTCAGCGTTGCTCAAATGAGGGTCTCGATGCTCACGGTTACAGAAGCGAATCTGAAGCCAGGCTTCATGTTATGAATAGGATCTTTTTATGGACAAAATAGCGAAAAAACAATCCAGGATCATGTAGAGCAGGTTAACATGAACATTTTAAGACCAAAATGATGAGGCTCACCGCAGGAGTTACAGATAAAGGGGCGACAAGATTCTAATGTAAGTCAGCTGGAGTCAGAGTCAGAAGGAGCTGAAAGAGCCACCTGGCGAACTTCCTACTTGGCACACGGCGGTGAGAGCGTTAGTAATGTCCACTCATATATACGGTCTATGGTCTCAACACAAACAAAGTCAGACACGTACTAGTACAAATGGTTGGCACTAAAGACACACACAAACACAAAATGGTAGACTGACCACAAAGGCCAGCAGCTCCAAACAGGTGCTGTCAATCTCCTTAAATAGGGGTCGGAGTCTGGAGGTGAGGCAGGATTGGTCAGGTGTAGAAGTGCTCCACCAATCACAGACCAGGGCTCCCACAGCAGGAATCAGGACAGCCAGCAAAAGAAATTAAAACACACAAAACAAGTCAGAACTGGAGGCCTGGGTATGTGATGAAATAACATTATAACATTGATCAGAAAAGAGTGTAGTATGGGCCCTAATGCAGGGATCATGGGAAAAGCTTTAAGAAATTCTTTATCAAAGGATGTAAAGAAGACCGACTGATTGAAACTGAGCAAATGGCTGTGTGTGTTTAGCCAGACTGGTGCCACCTAGTGCCTCCGCTCAATTTCATTTCTCTCTAGCAACTACGTCAGGAATCAGAATACACTAGAATACACTAGTGACTAGACGGATTCGCAAAAAACCCTGGAAGTGCAAGTTCGGGCACCAGCCAGTCAGCGAAGAGCCATACATTCAGTGTTGTCAATGATTCCCAAGATCGAGGATTTAAAGCCGGAACAAAGAGAATGTTTGGTGATTTTTATCAAGAGGAAAGACGTTATTGCCTTTCTTCCTACAGGGTTTTGGAAAAGCTTAATTTTCCAGTTAGCCCCATTAGCGGCGCATTACATATGTGACGACCAAATAACAGCGGTTGGTTAAATGACAAAAAGTACCTGCCTAACGTTGAGTGAACAAATTCCAATGCTGCGAGGTCAGATGGTTTCTACGAAGTGAAACCGGCTGATGAATTAGGCTAGTGTATGCAAACCTAAAATCTGTTTTCTGGAGTTGTCAGATTACTGTAAACTACAAAATTTAATATGATCAGCTTTATTTGTGTCAATGGGGAAAATATTTTAATTTATTTTTTTCTGCATGTTAAAGCATATCGAAATCAAATCAGTATTGTGAGCCATGTATGGAGATATGTATCAAATCATGGGAAAACAGTTTTGTTGCATTCCTGTTATATATAGAGATGAGTGCGTCAAACATGCACTCAACGTTGTGAAAGCATTAAGCCCCACACCCTGTAGGATCTCCGGCGAGAGATAATGATAATCATTGTACTTTGACTTCTAAATACTAGTATTGTTATGCTAAGAAAAAAAAAAAACTGTTGAGGGTTCTAGAGTTCATTTTTACAGCTTCACCAAAATCTGTATGCATTTATCTTATTTAGATATGAAAACAATAAAACAGTAATTACGACTGGTGTAAAAATGAACACACACAGTAGTTTTATTCATGTTTTTGTGTTTTATTTAAACAAAAAGTTGTAAAACACTGTTTGGTTTAGCTGCAGCTTTAAGAAATGTAAATATTTCTCATTAAATGCATAGTTTAGACAAAGACTGCAACCGTATGGGCACATCGCAATAGTGTTCTAAAATGTCAATAAAGTTTGATTTTGTATGACTTTCCTATATTCTTCTTCCTATTTAAAGTCTTTAACCACTTAACCAGATGCAGTGTGCCCGGGTGAGGTCTATAGGCTTTTAGGCACAGTTTGGAGGTGTTTTATAAGTTAATTAACAATATTTCATTCCAACTTAAAGGACAAAATTGAAAACAAAATTGAGATAAACTAGAATGTTCTTAAATTCACAATTCCCTTTAGAGCAAGAAACCATTTGTTCTTTTATGTCAACACTGATATGAACAAACCAGATCATTTTTACAACTTCCTCAAAGAAAAACATTGATTTCAAAAACTCCCTTTAAAATTCTGCTTTTAGTGTCACATTCTTCACAATACTGAGCAGAGCCTCTGGACTGAATTCAGAATCATTATTTTAATTTCTACTTTAAATGTGCACTGTGTAACTTTTCTGATTGAGCATTTGAGACAAGCAGGTGGCATTATTAAAAGACCCTGTGTTTTTGCTTTAAGTTAATGTTACACACTATGGCATTAAACATTTCTGTCCAGAATATAGTTAATTACACAAAAAAACATGAACCTGAAACCTGAAAAACATGTCTGTATTAGTCAAACCTCTCCACAGATCTCACTTGGCCTGGCAACAGTCAAATGTCATACAGTGGAACATTCTAAGCAAAGTAATAACATCTCCATGGAGACAAGCTTGCCCTCTCCTACACCAGAAAAATTACATAATGCACCTTTAATACATCTAAACCGCAAGTCCAAAACTCAAGAACGGAGATCTTTTTCCTTTTACCATGAAGTATCAGGCTCTCAAATTGCCCTCAAAAACAACAATAACAAATGCTGGCTCTGGTTTATTTGAGTGGATATTACATTACACAGACTGAGGCCTGTGCGCTGAGAGCTGTGGTCATGATGGATCGGAGGAGAGGCGTTTATTGATCCGTGCCCGCTGCCCTCTTGGCTCTCTTCCGCGGAGATGTTTTAGGAGACGCCTTATCTGCAACACAAACGTGAATATGAGCAAGAAGTCTATCAAGAACAATAACGCAGGAGATGAAAATGAGGAGAAAGAAGAATGCATTGACGGAAAGTATATTCTCAGTATATGGACAGATCATCCCTCATGTGAAAGCTCAGAACCTCCAGAATTCCCTCATTGAGCTACAGAGGCTGCACTAGCACTGATTCATGTCTGATGCACATGCTGGGGTTTAGGGAGTGACCGTTCAGATCAGAGAGAGGCACTTTAGGTTTAATCCAATTGGAGTTTAGTACTGAAACTGGTAACCCAAATGAATGTGAGGCTCATTCTGCTTTCTGACTGGAGAACCAAAACAGTTCACTGTCAGTAAAAGCATGTTGTTTGGAAATTTGACTGTATTTTTTAAATGGTGATTCAAAAAGTGTCTTATCTTGTTTATGTTCAGTATTAGCCTGTCTTTGGATCAGTTTAGAATGTTGTGATTATGTGATCCTATTGATTTCCTGTTTATAGATTGATTGACAGGTGAGAGAAGCAGGCGAGTCTTACTCATGGCGTTGAGCGTCTCCTGAGGGATCCAGCTGATGTCCACATCGCTCATGTTTCCTGTGCCTTTCTCCACCTTCACAGACAGACGCTTTCTCTGCAAAAGAAATAAAAACACACATTTAAGTTAGATATATGAATTTAATTTGTGTAAAAACATGCCAACTCCACACAGTAGAACCCAGCCAGCCGTCAAGGAGCAGTTCTGGTCGAGGGCTGTTATTGACTAAAGCAATTCTTGCTTCTTAACACATGCTCTGAGCATCTATTAACTAAAAGAAGGCTTAGAGCGCCGCTGGCAAAACTCTCCAATTCATTAGAATCTCACACACAACCATTGTAAATACAGAGAAGTACTGGGAGCTATATTATAATCCAAATAACATAATTAGTACTAAGACACCATCGACTGAGTGATCCTGAATAATGGCTTTTGGACTTTTATAAACAAATGGAGAGCCTTGGTTTTTGGTTGTTCGGTTTTCTAAGCATTTTTTGAGATTTCACTACAGACAACTACAGAAATATTTTTAACCATGGACTGAGCATGTAACTGAATGACTAAAGGCCTACAGCCCTACACTGGTCATGTCCATGAGACAGTGCTATAGGATTAATACACATTGAATAGAAACAAGATAAATAGTGTTGTATTCTTAGTTGACTGCATGACTGATGACAAGACCTTGATGTATGAATTTCAAATCAAACTGAACACATGTTCTGTCCCGGTCAAATAAAGTGAATTAAATACGCACCGTTCTAGACTCCAGGACCTGGTACATGGCAAAGACCATCAGAGACACCAGTCCAATGAGGAAGACGTACATGAAGATTCTGCAGGAGAACAAAGACAGAATGAATACATTTAGAAAAAAGATACTTTCTCATTTATGCATTTAGTTTTGAATTTTTCATTATATTTTTACAGTATAATATGATGAGACAGATGCACACTATTTGTTGTAATGTAGATGAGTGTTATCACAATACTAACATTTCAAACTTGATTTTGATCCTGAAGAAAAGCCTTGATTCTCAATACCATTTTTGATATTACAGAT